ACACCCAAATGTGATGTGATAACACCTGATTGCAACGAAATTGCCTTTATTGTATATATTGCCGGGACACTTGCCAGGACCATCCCTGTCCTGGTGTCATCACTGGAGATCTCGGAAAGTAGTTGTAGCATAGTCTAGCCAGGCCACCTAGACAGGATGCTCCTGGTAGGTGTCCATAATTGTATCCTTGTGGTGAGCGCAAGCGCTCATCGCCAGAGTTTCTGCTTGCAAACCTCACTAGTAACAAGTGCATCGCTCCTAGTAACAAGTGCATTACTACTAGCAGCAAGAAGCTACTAGGAGCAAGGACGCTACTAGGAGCAAGGACGCTACTAGGGGCTCCTGGCCTTACTGCTAGTAGCAAGGACGCTTAGTAACAAGTCTTTCACCCATGTTTCACCCCCCCCTTTTTCCACCTGGTCCATCGTTTCCCGAGATCGACCAAGGCTCAAAGCTCCAACCCCGATGGGGCCATCGGTTGGCGAGTGGAGCTTAGGCCCTTTGGGTGGGGACAACGCGGAGCGAGCGAAGCCAGCAAAAGACACTTCAAGTTACTCCAGTATTAACCCTCAAAAACGCATAAAAACGTGTCCCCTCCCTGCTTTTTACAAACAGGTCAAGGTCCTTAAAACAGTCACCCCACACGTCTTCTCACTTCGGTGCTGTGCTGAAGCAAGCGCGCGCGTGTCACCAGCGGCTCACATCGCCGCAGGACGCCCGAGGCGGGGACACGGGGACCCGTGGGACGTCGTTCCTGCCGTTCGTAGCGGTCCAGTCGTCTCCTGTACAGACCTCCTGCTTTGTATGGGCGGACACGTTTGCTCCCTCCTTAAGTATAACCATCTGCAGTTTCCATGAGGTCAAACTGGCTGACTGACTTGTAGGGTCTTCATTTGAGTGTCAAAAAACAGAGAAGTCGAAGGTTCGAGAGTCTAGAGAGAAGTCTATGGCATGTTTAATTTTACGGGCCATGTCAGTGTCAATATTCCACGTGGTCAATGAGAACGCATGTGAGATCAGTGACTTCAAAGAAAAAGACCTTTTGGCGCTGGAACCCAAACGCAAAACCGCGATTCTGATGTACGTCACGCCGTACATTTTGCCTGCGACTTTGGACATGAAGCGAAGGGACAAACGATCTGCGCTTCCGCACAGCACGACCGGAGAGGACCAGATGGCGAGGCGCCTACGACCGGTTGGACACATAGCTCGTAGGCTGCACCTTACGATGTGCAGCTACGAACCCCCATGTGCTTTGCATCGAAGTTCGTGCAACAACACAGGAAAACATCGATCGTGTCCCGGGCGGCGCTACTACTAGTACCTTCGGTCGACCGGAAAAAGACATGGTCTTCTCTTCTTCCTTCGTTCCAGGCACAAGCCACGGACTTTGAAAACGCGGCGGCCGCTGGGAAAGCAACGAGAAAGCACGGCGCGAGCCGAAGGTTGAGAGCGACATGGAGAAAGGAACCCTATCAATCTCATATAAATACCTGTAGTAACAAGAAGCTAGTAGAAACAAGTGCCTTACTAGTAGTAACAGGTGCCTTACTAGTAGTAACAAGAAGCTGTTGGAAACATCTCATAGACCTGCAAATTCCAACAGGTCAACAATTGAGACCTCCAACAGGATCCAAACCGAACGAGAGGGAGACCTGGCAATGCTGGTACTGTTTGTCCTTCTCATGTTACATGAGTTCTTTTGGAGGGGCGGCCCCACTTCTGAAAAACTCCAGACCGCCACGCATTACAGTTCTTTCGTGTAGCGGCCATCGTGTGGGCGTCTACCTGCTACTCTTGAGCCGATCACCCCCATCCAAATGCCTGCAAAGCTTCGATGAGTTTGGAAGACAAATTGAAACACAGTCGCACAATACCGACATGGCACCACTAATGGCAATATTTCACGACATTGAGCCCGACTTCAACCACCCCAATGGTGTGTTCAATACTCCAAGTCCCATTAGTGGTGTCTGCGTAACAGAAGCCTGCAAAGCTCCAAGGGTCTGAGCTCATCGAGAAATGTGTTGGTCATCGCCTCCAAACACCGAAGTTGGCATCCACTCTCTCTAGTCAGACTCTAGTCCTCCGACGACTGGACGACATGGTGGAAAGTCGGACGACTTGGCAACAACGAGAGGGGTAGAAAGAAGAGATGACCTGGTGAATTGGCGGGCTGTGAAGGTTGTGGTTGGTTGTAGTTTATAGGTGCATTCTAGGAAGGATAAACAAAAAGACATTGGCTGGAGGATTGGCTGGACAATTACTCGATTGGACCAACGTTGAGATGGAACGAACCCTGTTTGGCATGTTTTAGACTTGGAACCAGGCTACTAGTAGGAAATGACTAGTAGGTTGGAGGCCATTGCTATCCATTACTACTAGTAGCAAATAGCTACTAGTAGCTTAAGGCTACTAGTAGTAATGCCCTTGTTACTGGTTTCCATCCACAGACTCCGCCCGAAAGACTGAGCAAAAATGCGCTGTTGGGCCAGCAACGCTGCCCGGAGTTCCAATGGAGGTAGTTGAAGGATGATACACGAACTGTTGGAAACACCAGACCAACGTCCGTTTCGCAGGAAGACTTGCACAATACGTCCGTGCATCAATTATGGTGTAAACTGTTTTATTCAACTCGCGATGTGAACCATGCAGCGGATGGAATTGAACCGTGTATCTTTAGTGACAGAAGACGGACACAAAAATAATGGATCAATGAATCCTTGGACACTGTTTTGAAGATCTCCACACCCAAAAACCGCTCATTGTAAGAAAGTGCAACAACATGGTTTGTAGAGTTTAATCTCGAAAGTACCAATCATGAACCATCCAAAGGCCCCAAAACGACGTTTTGTTCTGCCCATCTTAGGCTACGAACGACACAGCACCTTTGTTGAAAACGACACGACACACCACCGGTGCGCCGGTGCGAGGTCATCGCCGTCGCTCGGGTTTTAGCCCAGATGATTTTGGAGGAAGGCCTGACGTGGCCGACGTGCGGTGGAGCGGTAGGGGTTGGAGGCCCCGTTCGAAGCGTCCGAACGCTCCATTCGTAGCGATGCCCTTTGCTACTATTAGCTTCTTGTGACTAGTAGCGATGCCAGGAGCCCCTAGAAACGTCCTTGCTCCTAGTGGTAGGGGCCTAGCAGTGGCCTCCTTTTTTTTTACCAAGGTGGCAGGAAGTGGCACAATATCCTGTCTAGCGGGTCCTTGTAGACTGTCGCAAATAGACCGCAGCTTTATAGTGGTCTTGGTGTTTGGAGCTGGAAGTGTACCCTAAAGAAGACAATTCTAATTCTTATTGTTACTACTAGTAAGGCACTTGTTTCTAATAGCAAACATTGTTACTACTAGTAAGGCACCTGTTACTACTAGCGTGGCACTTGTTACTACTAGCGATGGCTGTCCTAATCAAGGAAGATGTGCCTCCTAAAGTGTTGTTTCCCTGTGACCGTGAGGAACGCCAAGGGTGTGAAAGTTGGCTACTGGCTGAAACGTGGCATGTTTTACTTTGTTTGTTGATCTAGAGGGTTGCCTTCAAAAAGATGATTGTTTTTCGAACATGCTGATTTGTTGATCAACTCGCAGATTTGTTGCAGTCGAAATTATCAGCAGTTACTCAAACAACTCTCCGTCGGACCACCCTACTCCTCACTACTCGGCCGTAATGGGCCCCAGTTGCAGTGCGGATTGGGATAGTCTTGCGTGGGTGGCTTGGGACCCCACCCAAACGCAGAACATTGCAAGATTTGGATTGAAGGTGCTCCATGGGGAACCTGGCGCCTGATGTCCTAGGAGGAGTATATATAGCATGCTCTACCATACCCGCCATGCCCAAACGCATCACTGACTCCAGTGACTTCGGTCCGTTCAAGAGTATTTACTTGGTCTATACCAAGAATAGTACCTCCACAGCCACCCCAAACACCTTCTGAGAAGGTACTTGGATCCCTAGGGTTAATATAGAAAGTCTGCCCATACCTCCATTCCAAGACTGACCGGTTCTTTGCCGCAGACGTCCGCCTATCCAGTGCGGCGCGTTGCGCAGGTTGGGACCTCTACGTGCCCATCTCCACGGTGGAAGAGAACCTTCGCCGCACCGAAGGCCGCGGCGCGGGGAAAATGGAAGGACGGAGATTGGATGGTCTGGTGGTTGGGGAAGTTGGATTGGGAATGTAGACTAAAGCCGAGTAGATGCAGATAGAAAGGATGTCCAATAAAACTGAAGAAAACATGTATGTATTTGCTACTAATTAATTAGTACTAGTAGTATTTCCCTTGCTCCTAGTAAGTAGCGATGTCCTTTGTTCCTAGTAGCGTCCGATCGCTCCTAGTAGTAAGGCCAGGAGCCCCGTTCGTTTCATCCGAACGCTCCGTTCGTAGCGATGCCCTTGCCCTTGGTCTCAATTTCCAGAAAGGGCCTTAGGAGTCACTGTTCTCTTACTAGTAGTAACAAGAAGCTATTAGGAACAAGTGCCACGCTAGTAGTAACAAGTGCCTTACTAGTAGTAACAAGAAGCTATTAAATTTACTTTAAATTAATTCTAATAAGAAACTTAAATTTACTTTAACTAAATTTACTTTAAATTACATTTACTAGTAACAAGAAGCTATTAAATTTCCAGAAAGGGCCTTAGGAGTCACTGTTCTCTTACTAGTAGTAACAAGGACGCTAGTAGTAACAGGTGCCACGCTACTAGTAACAGGTGCCTTACTACTAGTAACAAGAAGCTATTAAATTTACTTTAAATTAATTCTAATAGCGAACCTTGTTACTAGTAGTAAGGCACCTGTTACTACTAGCGTGGCACTTGTTACTAGTAGTCTAAGAGAATTTGTTCTTTCTTGACAGACCTTATTGCCCCTCGAGATGATTCCAATTTCTTTTCTACCCATGTTCATTGTGTTCTCTTTGTGACTACTGCAGGTCATCCTTCATTCCTTACACCAACAAAGAAAAACGACATAAAAAAACACTGATTGAATTGGACCTCAAAGCGCCCTCAAGCTGCCACGGATGAGGGGTGGGCGCTGTGACCCGGCAGCGCTTCCTCTTCCGAGACGACTTTCTAGGCGACCGACCACGGTGGAGGGGTGGAGGGGTGAAAAGGTGCGGTTGAAAAGCTGCCCGGCTGTGTTTGTCACACATTGTGGTGGTTCCTGACTGAAAGAAACCATGGAAGGGTTGGAAAGGAAAGGTTCATTGACAAGGATTTCCCGCAAGAGAAAGTAGAAGTTGTTACTTTTCAGACATCCCAAGTCCCAAGCAAACTGGGTGAAATGATGCATCACCTGCTGTCAGCTAGGGTCCTTTTTAAGGAAGG